TAGACGATATCTTGTCTGGAAGTCACAGTCTTCCACAAGCATACGAGTCACTATCACAAGTGCTCCAAGCCCTCAAAACCGCAGGGTTTCCGTTGAAAAAGATAACGGCGAACCACCCTAACATTCTAGAAAATATACCAAATGAAAATCTGTACTAATATCATTAAATTCGAAAAGGAAAGTACAACAAAAACTCTGGGGATCCAATGGAATGCGATATTTGACCAGTTTTCATACACAGAGTCAATATCTGCATTATCCGCCATAACAAAGCGACAAATTCTATCCTCTGTGGCAAAACTTTTCGACCCCGTAAGATGTCTTTCGCCAATTATGACGCAAGCTAAAATCCTAATACAATAATTGTTGCTAGATGGAACCGACTGGGACGAACGAGTCAAACCACTTCGTTTAGCAAAGTGGTCCCAGTTCGCATACAATCTAGAAGACATTTCCAGATACAAATCCCACGATGGGTGAGCTATTTTCCCGAATACAAAGTCAAATTACATGCCTTCTATAATGCCTGTGAAAAGGCATACTCTGCTACTATAACCGAAGAAATATCATAACTAAGTGATTCGAAACCCATTGGTAAAAGGAGCTCACTCTTAATATTAAATCCATTCATAGACACGAAAGGTCTACTTCATGCGAATCGTCGGCTTGCCAATTCCCAGAGAAATCGTAACTCGACACCTTATACCTTAACTATGTCCACGTGCTATTGTAACACGAAGAACATCGCCTCATGCAACAAATAGTCCGTCAAGAGTTTTATATTTCAAGACTCAAGCCCAAAATAAAGAAATGCATTTTCATGTGCAAGATCTGCACTATGCATAAGCAGAAGATGCGAACGCAAATTATGGCAGCCCTTCCACCGAACGCTGTAACTTCGCTCTGCCTTTCACTATTACAGGTGTCGACTTTGCTGGGCCTTTTCAGATAAGGGCATCCATGTTAAGGTCTCCCATCCTTATGAAAGGATATGTGGCTGTCTTTGTCTGCTTTACGACAAAAGCAGTCCACCTCGAGCTATGTACGAATCTGGTAAAGAAGCCTTTTCTCGCGGCATTTGCTCGTTTCGTCGGACGACGCGGTTTTCCGTCAAAACTCATAAGCGACAATGGCACAACATTTATAGGAGTTCAAATAGCCACAGAAAAACAGTTCGTGAATTTTGTCAAACAAGTCTCACCTGAGATTGTACAAAAGTATGCTCTCCAAGGTATTAACTGGCAGTTTATCCCTCCAAGAGCTCCTCATATAGATGGTTTATGGGAATCAGCTGTAAAAAGCTTCAAATCCCACTTTAAAAAAGTAGCTGGAAACTACAAATTTAATTATGAAGAATTTACAACAATATTAATAAAATAAATCATTACTCTATTTTGTTTCTAAAGCATTTACGATATACATACACGTATAAGATCATACTACTGACGATTGACATAATGTTAATCGAAGTATTATCACTTAGTTTTAGTTAGAAATATTCTATAAAGATTGAAAACTAAGTCGTCTGCGATACAAAAACCCAACCAAAGAAAAGCAACTTATTATATTAAGTAAAGGGTGATCCATTTCGAGGTTCCCTTTTTTTTTAAAGAAAAAATTCAAAAAATTAAAATGTATTTGAGAATGTTTATTATCATTATCATTCAAAGAAAATTCTTTGGCATCTCGAGCTTCAAATAGTCGGTTATTATGGCGCGATAACGGTCGCCATTGACGGTTACGTTCTCACCGCCATCATATTTGAAGGAATATGGACCGATGATTCCACCAGCCCACAAACCACACCAAACTGTAACTTTTTCTGGATGATTGGCAGCTCTTGAATCTCTTCAGGTTGCTCTTCGCCCAAATGCATAATTTTTGCTTTTTTTCATACCCAAAAAAAGTGCCTCATGGCTAAGCAAAATTTGACTCGACAACGGCGGATCTTCTTGGAACTTTTCAATAACCCATAGAGCGATGCGATGTCGCTTGGGAAAGTCGAGTGCGCTTCGGTTCTTGCACAAGTTGTATTTTGTACCACAAATGTGCCAAGTCTTTCCATACGTCAGTCCGAGTTGCTGAAATGGCGCCGAATTGACTATCTACGGTCTTCGTGTACACTTTCAGCTCCGACCGATTTTCTTCACTGCGTGCTGGACGTTGGGTATTCGGTCGAATATTATCAAATAATGAATGCTGGGTCTCAAGATGGGTGATGATGTTGCGAGTAGTACGCTCAGTAAGCCTATTATGTTGACCATAAGTTGAGCGAAGCGCTCGAAACATATTATTTACAAGACGTGAATTTTCGAAATAAAGTTGAACAATTTTCAAACATTGTTCAGGCTTAAGTCTTTCCATGATGAAATGCCAAATAATACTGTACAAAAATAACATTACAGCATGACACGGCTCATGCGTGATCTATTGGTTATTGAAAAAAGTACCTCTACTTGGATCACCCGTTATAGGTATAAGCAGAAGGTCATTATGTTAGGTGTGTGAAGGCTTCGAAGACTCCAAATTTTTTTTATTTCAAATAAATATGTGATATGTGAGTGACATCCTAAAATGTTATCGTTAATATTCGATTTGAGTTTATTGAAAAAGCTGCTTTTAAATTGATTATTAAGTTTTGCGTTGGATATAAACCCATCTCAAAAGTGATAATATCGCAGCAGACGCCTAATTGAATGTACAAATTCATAAATAATCGAGATATAACAAATAATTACATGGCTTTTTATGAATTCATCTTGTTTCTAACAGCATATCTACATCTATTAAAATATATTACACACAACAGGAACCGCCGATATCGAACCACTATACCATATAGATGCCGTACAAACTATACGATCTAAATCAAGATTTTGTTGGAAAAGCTTTTTTAGTTGATGGAACATCGTCAGGAAATTTCGTATGAATAATTGTCCAAGGCAACGCTCCAATGTCTGAAAAAATTGTTCAGTTCGCACTACTTTGGCGTATTGCTGCTATACAAACTGAATGATCAAAATCAAATTCTAAATAAACAACCTTTTTATTAGTAAACCTTTTTACTGTGACACAACTTTCATTTTACGCATTCATTCTATAATATACCAAATTAAAGTAATACAATTTTATACTTTCGCAACATGTTAATACAGAGTATAAAAATTTTGTTCACCTGTCCGCTGTTTGTATCATCTAAAACTAGTCGAGGCAGATATTGAGTTACACATATATACTCGTATACATAGTAAATGATCGCGTAAGCGATAAATTAAGTAAAAATTTAGATATATTAGCGAAACTTGCCACAATTGTTCCTCGGTACCTCCGATGGAAGTGATCGGATCACTGCCACACCCACAAAACGCCGATAATCAAAACGGGAAATAACTAAGCACTAAATTGATGTGCAAAACTGTTATTTCGTACAGAGGATCGCAGTAGCGACGAACAATTGTGGATTAAAAATTGTTTAAATGTGGGCGTGGGCCCTTAAATGGTTCATTCCAAATCGCTGAAGGTGAATCAACCTAACTTGCATAGAAGATCACTTCTTTATACGCTGTGAAAATTGTTAAAATCATAAATTACCACGTCCACTACCCATATAAGGGTTATGTGGAAAACTACAAATCGGGTCACTACTTTAATTTGCCCCATGTACCTAATATACAGATTTTCGAACTTCAAGTTGACTCTATACCACATATTATATATCAGTCAAAATGTGACCGATATAACTAATATCAATATTTTCTAACATCCGGTCGAAACATCTACATACCTCCTATATCCCATATAACTAATATACAATTTTCAAACTTCAAATTGGCTTGATTCCGTGAAATGAATGTATAATATTGGATATATTACAGTTTCGTGCCGAATATATGTGAAATTGGTCTACGAACTATCTCGACTCACATATATTACATATAATGATTATGATTTTCGTTATTCTAACAAACCTTATGCCGAATATGGCGGTCAGTGTGTAAGTTACATATTATTAAAATTATTTTAAAATATGTTCTTGACGTACTTTATTTTGATTCTAAATGTGTGATATATTAGTGGAATTAAATGCACAAGCTGTCTAAAAAATAATGTGATTTAGCGCTGAATGAATGAAATTGTTCTAGATATTGGTCAAACCTTAAGGTGTTTTCCTGGCTATGATCATTGCAAGTTGCGAGAGTACAAAATGTTCGATTACACCGGAACTCAGACCTTATTTACCTATTTTATACAGTAAATATCAGTCGATATGTTAAATTAAGTTAGCTTGTTTTTCTTAAACACATTTTGATTTAGTTTTAGAAATGTTCATATAGCATCGATCGCAATGTTAATTTTGCTGTCGCTCAGTATATGGGATGTATTAATAATACTATAATAAAAATTACTCAGTTAAGCCAAATGACGTGTTTAAAATATGTAAGTCATATATGAAGTTTAATAATGTAGAGAATATGAATATCTCTACTTCTACAAGTATCAGTCAATATGATAGAGTATTTCGTTTAATCTTTTATGACTGGGTATCAAAAATGAGAGCAGTCGGTAATGCAATATTTTAATATCACGTATCTTGAATAAAATATGTGTATTGATATAAATACACGAGCTTTTTGGAAATAAATTATAGATTTTGCACATTTCGCCACGTCGTTGTATGTATAATATTTTATGTATTCCTAATTTTTATTGCAGAAGGTAATGGTGGCTATCCACATATTTTTAAGGATAATGATGCATTGAAAAAAGGTAAATAGGTTATGATGCTATAATTCGTAATTCATAGTAGACATAATGAATGTACTGTCATGTCTACATAAGTACAAGATGGTTGATAGCATATAACATTCTGCTATGATTCTTTAGACCACACATTATAACGTTAGACTTTTTATTATTATATATCCACTATTCCACTTTTTTCTTCACTTTATCGCGCTGGTGTTTAATTTTAAAGTACTTTTAAGTTCAGTATTACTTACTCTTTACCAAATTGAATCAAATCATAGTCCACAACTAATCAAAATACTATTAACCAACTTATACATCCTTTTTTTATTTTTCTACACATTTTTAATGTTACTAGTATAAACATTACTTGTAAATTTCTTCTTTATATTATTATTGTTTTCTATCCAAAAATGATTTGTTTTTGTGGTATTCAGTTGTTTTATTTTTGTAAAAGAACGATATTTATTGATTAAGCACATACTTAATTAAAACTCAGATAATAAAACATTACTGAACACGCTTACGCTTTCCTGTAGAACAATATACATATGAGAAGCATTTAAAGTCTGAGTATAACACTGTGACTTTTAATTTATGTATGTATTATTTAGTGTATACATATGTGTAATATTCATTCAAGGTAATAATGTATGCCTAAATGTTTAGTAATTAACTGTATGCACACATATCTACATTCATAACTATATTCACATACTTTTTTGAAAAACATGAACATTGAAACACTTTACTGAAATATATTTGTTACAAAATTTCAATAAACTTACAATATATCTTAATTAACGGTTTAGGCTATCATAATATGAGACATTCAACCGTTGTGGTACAACCAGGTTATAGAAATTTTTACAAGCAATACTTTCTTTTGCTTAAAAACGTGTAACCGGCCCGCTATCATCCGACATACTGTCGACAAATGCATACACATACATAAGAACACTGTTTTAATATCAAAGATTTGTGGTATGAGTGTGATGGCATATATTTGTTTTGTTTTCCTTTTCTTAGCAATTGTTCTGGGATATGTACTATGTGGATGTGAATTCTAGTCAACGAGAATGTTATACGAATATACATACCTATATATATACATATAAGCTTACAGTAAAATAGCCTCTGTTATAAACATGCATTCATTGTCAGTGGCAACGGCAGCGAAAATATATAAGAAATTATACCTATGGTATTAACTTACATATATTTATGTTAATATACATATCCTCATCAAATACTTGATTTTTCTTTATACCAATTACCTGAACTCATAGTTTGTCCAAGTACATGTCTACCCAGTTGATACAAACAGGCTTATCGAAGCGTTATTTTCCACAGTATTTTTCAGTGCTGCCGTAGACGCACATTCAATAAGTAAAATAATATCCACAACATAGGTATCTCCGTTATTGCTCAAGTAAATATAAAAGAACATAACATTTTAGCCAGTCAACGATATATATTTATAGTATATTTTCTACTAGATGAACTCAATATTATTTCATAAAAGCATTTCTCTAATATTTAAGACAATTTAAGTTCTACCAATTACCCAAAGAGTTACATATTAAGTCAAAGAAAGTGAATTTAATAAAAAAAAAGTTCTAACTGAACTGAAAATTTAACAATCCTTTTTATGTATTGGTAAAATAATTACCATACCTTCATTTAATCATATTTCAGGAAATAGTATTCCATTCCTAAATTGAGAATTCCAGCAAATCTAACTTCAAATTGAGGTAAATTTATAATACAATAAACAACTACCCAGGTCGGCAAAAATTCCTCTTAGCTGTATCCTCCGCGCGGGTGTCTACTGGGCAATGGGAATCCTTGCTTGTAATGTCGTGGTCTCAAGCTGCATCTGGGCTGGATGAGTCATGACATTTCAGGCATGCTGTATTTCTCCATTCATTCCCTTATGATGGCCGCTTTATATGCAACCTCAGGAGGTGAATGAGGGTATACAATAGTTATTGCTAATGAGGTACCCGGCCGTAGGTATAAAACGCTGGGGTAGATACTCCCGAATTCAAAACTAAAAATGTAGATCAATGAAGGAACGAGGCGGGCTAGATATAATATTAGCCAAACGTCGGTGGAAGACGAGGCTGCTACCACCGGCGGGTACAGCGATTCGATAAGCTGTGTCGTCAGCGGCCACATCCGCGCACGGGTGCCGCAGTCCATCTCTTAGTTCAAATCATCAAAACCTGGGGACCGTTTAGACCTGACCAGGCCAAAGGTGTACCCCAACTCACCATAATCTCATGGAGGGACAGGCGTCTCTTCCGCTTGAGGTACCTGAACCACCGCCCTAGGAAATAATGCTCCTAACAAATCTCCCGCTCACTCTCTTTACGTTGATAACATAGTGTCACCAACGCGAAGAGAGATGATGTCACACACAAAATTCCTCCAGTCCTCTTCTTTAACTTTAACCAACATATCCTTCTATTCCCTAATCGCACAACTAAACTCATACCTAAGCTGGAACAGCATGTCAGAATTGGACCGTCGAGCGCGTTTTGCCTCAATCGCCTGACAGTCCTCATATTCGAGGTTAACTCACGCGTCCACCACTTTATTTTCCTAACCATAAAACTGTCACACTTCCAAAGTACCCTATCATTCACCCCTCAAACTACCTCATATAGAAATTTGCCCTAACCCCTCAAACACTCTAAGTGGCAAATCCAATACCGCTTCCCTAACAGATCGATATTGGTTCCAGTAGATACCAGATGTACGCCATCGCCACAATGGACTCTCATACCGCTCTAGCTAGATTTGTAGTACAAACTAGCTACAATCAACCTACCGAACTCCCTCTCTACCAGGAAACATACACCCAGTTGTGAAGAATTCACATCTACGCAATCGGAGTTGGGATCACTCACAACAATTACGCCAATAGCCCCAATGTCCGTGAAGACCTTGAAACTCCCAGGAAGACCCGGAACCACACCATTGGTGGCGTAGGGCTCCTAGAGTAAGGCAATGCCGCACCTCCCCTCAGTCATACACCCGCTCAACTCACACATTACGGCATACGCCTAATGGCAGTTTAACAGTATTATTCCCCTCATCAGTGTCTGGCGATGGCGCGCTTAACAATGCCACAGTATATCGGGCAGACAGCTGACATCATAAGATGCCCAGCTGGTCTACCCTCGAATGCGCAGTTGAGGCAATGGGGTGCATTGACGCAACCGGCAGCTCTGTGGCCTTCTTGACCGCGCCTCCGACAGACATCTAATTTGGCCCCACACTCAGTCACTCTGTGATAAAACCCATACAACGGAAGCAGTCAGCAACGGGGCTATCCGGTCGCACCCGGAAGGGGAACCAGTTATTGTAGCACCTACCTGCCTCCAAGAGGGCGGAGTAACTCTTCCATAAACTCATCATGGAAGTCTCGGTATGAGCCCCCTGAAGTACAACCCGAGGATCCAAATTCCGGTTGACATTCACTTCCAACCCCACCTCCCCGATCATTGCGTTATTCGCCCCTTTTTCCTTCTATAAAACAGAGGGAGTGCGGATCACCGCCCAAACACCCTTAATTGGCCTAACCGCGTGGATCCTCACACCGAGTGACGGGCCCACCTGTTTAACAACTTTCTTTATAACTTCCTTAAAGAAAGTTGCAGGCCCCTTACTCCTGACCACGACGGACCAGGTCTAAACAGGCTTCGGCATCACCGGTGCAATCGCTTCCAGTACAGATGCTGGAAGCGCAGGTGCCGATGGAGTCGGCATTGACTTCAGATTTTGTTTGAGTCTTGGTTTTTTATTTACGGGGCATGGGCCTCTGAAGGCATTTTGGATCAGAGGCACCTTTCTGATAGGTCGGGCTGTTTGTGTGGCCGCGATGTGCAAACTGGGTTCACTTGATGTACTCGGAAAACAGGAAACTCGGGTGTACGGAGATTAGCTGAACTGACGGACATTTAGATATTAGCGGTGTTATCTCCACTAGTCGGAATGCCGAACTGTTTGGGTCATTTGCGTGAATTGTTTAGGCAGCGGAGGCGTTTAGCTGGGAATTAGGGTTAGCTTCTTCTGTGTAAGGTGTGTGCGTGCAATGTGCGTATGGGGTTCAACACCTGGTTACCAGTTCAGAGCAGTAAGGAAGCTTAACTGGTAGTAGCTTCGGCTACGAGGTCTGACCGGAGACTTAATTCTGGTAGCACGGGGAGCAGGGGCCCTTGGAGTTCGCTCCAACCTGCTCATACGGACTGGCTCTTCGAGGAGTCGTGGTGGCTGTGGTTGATACCCAAATGCGGGAAGAACTGACGATTAGTCAGTTGAATGTGGAGTTGCATTACAATCGGTGCCGGACTCAAAGCAGAGAATGTTAATGAATAGAGAAGGCGCAAATGTTAGCTGTGCTAAAATGTAAACTATTAAAAGGGAACATCGAAAATGCGCAAATTCGAAAGCTCAATTACACCACGTTAAAAAGATACCTTCCTCTCATGATAATTGAACTTAACAAACCACTTTAACAAGGAACCAAGTACATTGTCACCACCTTATAAAGGAACATATGTATGCACCGATGTTCTTTGACATGCGTGTTAAGGAAAATTAAAATAACAAAAGGAAATAATAGATTTTGAAGAACATTTATATTACATAATGAGGAAAAAATTAAAATTAAAAAGAAATAAAACAACATCTGTGATGGGATTTGAGCTCAGGCAAATCATTTGATGTAAATTTGCAATAAGGAGATGTGCTATACAATCAGCATCACCAACACAATTTAAACTTGTTAGTCTAATGTATAAACATAATCATTTTTACTTGTTGTAACACAATACAATTTGTATGTGAATATTCTCGAAAATGCTTTTTCTCCATATGCATGCCTTAATATATTTGCATATACGTATACATATGTACATATGTATGTATGTCCCTCAATATTGCCGCACATCATCGACCAATAAGATTCAAGCAAGCTCGCGCTATTTTTTTTTTTAATTTCATATTACAACGCCAACAAATTCATTCATAAGGAACGCGCGTATGCTGCAAAACGAAGTGCGATCGTTTGCACTGCGTTCGTTTTTCTGTGCGTCTGGTCAACCAAATTTGGTTTTCATATGGAATTCCTACCACAAATGCACGACAAAAATGAAGTTTAAATAAAAATGAATTAAATTAAATTTGAATGTCTTCAGTAAAATTGAAGAATCAGCAAAATTTTAATTTTACAATTTGTATCACTGAAAATCCTACCATCCCCTCGAATTTGTATGGTGCCCACAAGCTGCTTCCTCACAACATTTGCTAAAAATCAGAAATTGAAGAATTTGTCTGGTGTTCCCTTCAGAAAGAAGAATTGACAACATGGTCTACAACGTGCTTTCCAAAGTAAACAGGACTTTAAAAAAAAGACAGAACAAATGGTTTTATCGGCAAAATCAATTAATTTTATTCAAAATAGTCTCCTTCTGCTTTAATACAGCTTTTTGCACGGTCCAAAAGCATGTCGAACGAGTGTTTTAGCTCGTTGCCCGGTATGGCCGCCAGTATGCAGGTGCAACCTCTCCAAGGACTCCTTGTCTGCATAACGCTTTCCTTTCATCGGCAAATGCGTTTTTCCGAAAAATTAGAAGTCGCACGGTGCCATATCAGGTGAATACGGGGAGTGGTTGATTGTTAAAATGTGATTTTTGGTCAAATAATCGCCCACAAGCGTCGATCGATGAGACGGCGCATTATCGTGCAACCAACGCCAACTTCCATCTTCGCGATATTCGGGCCGAACACGTCAAATACGGCGCACCAAACGCTTCAAAACTCAACAAATTCTTTGTGGACAATTCCGTTGGAATCATAAAAACAAATCAGCATTGTCTTCACTTTTGACTTCTCCAGGCGCGATTTTTGGTTTCGCTCATTTCTCATTTATGTCCTCACGACCACTTTGAAAACGTTGAAACCACTCGTGCACTCTGCTACGAGATAGGCAATCATTGCCATAAACTTGTTCCATCAATTGAAACGTTTTGGTAACAGTTTTACCAAAGCTCATTTTCGCACCGATGACAAAAACATACTGACACTTAAAACTCAATAACTTCACTTCCAATAGATCAAATGTCATGAAACTTTTACTGGAAGTCGATAAAGAATAGCAGATTATAACGCACTAGTCGACATATAGATGGCCACTAGAGTTTACTTTTTTACTGTTTACTTTGGAACGCACCTTGTATTAGCGACTTGAATTATTATTTTAATTCTCTTCATATTATTCACTATATATGGTATTAAATTATAAAATTTACATAAAGTTGCCATTTATATGAAATCCTTTATTACTTCTATAAATTCTAAGCAGTAATAAGTCAATTATCAAAGCAAAGCACTGCAAAAAGGACAAACGCGGCAACATAGCCGACCGACGTTGTCGCAAAATTGTCTATTCAAACAAATTTTGTCA